AATATATGGTCAAGTTTTTCAATGTGTATGTAATCTTAGGCCAGATCAAGATATTCCCCCAACATATTATCAACTGTATGTATATGAACATAGTAAATTTTAGTTATAACTGTATATATATGATCACAGTAAATCTTTGCCAGAGTAAATTTTAGAAAGCAACATCATAGCAATCAACTTTGCTTACATGATTAAATGTTTTATTTACAAACTATAGCTAGTGAAGTTGCAGTTGTATTCGTTGAAGAGGCTCCACCTGAAATCATGTTAAATCAGCTCAGTTTTACATTTATGAACCTAGACAAAATTTCTGCTCAATATTTTATGGCAAGAAGCTATTTCAGCATTATGTGCTGATGCATATGTTAAAATTGAAGAGCAGTATCTTGCTTTCATAGAAATAATTAAAGTAAACTGAGAAGTATGCAATATGGTGCCTTACATAAAGATGTAAACAACCTTGGTAACAATCGTAATGTTAGACCAGGGTGCCTTATAGTTTTCTAATTATTTACGAAGTCTTAAAAAAAACTTTGAAGATGCTATGGCTAAAATTAAAAAGTATGGTAAACCAGATCTTTTTATTACTTTTACCTGTAACCCAAAATAACTGTGTGACATAAAAAAATACACAAACTTATTTTCAAATTTTGTTAATTAATAGTTTATGATAAGCATGTTTACATGTGTAATAAAATAAATGGTTATAGTTTATAAAATGTGTTTATATAATCTGATATGTTCAAAGTTTATATATTTATTCTGTTTTTCTATATTTTAAAAGCGGTTTTACTTAGCCGTGTGTTTAGCAAGATTGTTATTCTTGCCAGTCAAGTGATGTTACTAAGTTTTTAGTTAAGACACTTTAGAACTAAGACTAAGTACGAATCAAACTATAATTAGTATCAAAATACTAGAATTTGTTAAGTTACCTTTTTTTTTTTAAAGTTACCTATTATAATTTCTTGGTCCCATCAGATAAGTGCTATTTTTTATATTTTAAATGAAACTCAACTTTACGTATATCAACTTTTTATTAAACTATACTTTTTGTTTTTCATTACTTTCAGATATTCTACGATATCACGACTGATAAGTTTAAGATTATTATAATAACTTGTTTATTAGTAGTTTTTATGACTATTATTTATTAAACTATTATCAGATTTGTTATATATATTTTAGTTGTAATATTAGTAACTACGCTTTTAATTTTAATTAAAACTTAATTTTAACTTTAATTAAATTTGACTGTTTTTAAATTTAATAAATGTCAAGTCAGATTATCCTGCTATTGGTAACATGTAACCCAATACAACCTGTTTCATGTCCAGCTGCCTTGTAGGATATGCTTTTTTAGGCAAAGGCTAGGAGAAGCCAACTCCGACAACACCTCCTGCGATGGGGCTCTTGGTTGAGTAAAGGCTAGAGATGGTATCTTGATAAAAGTACTCATTTTAGACAGACATGAAATAAATCCTGCTACTGTCTTGTAGAAAGCCTCCTAGCCAAAGACTTAAGAGGTAAACAGATTATCTGTTTACCTCTATTTATCTATAATATATAAATTCAATTGCAAAATTAGCATCTGCTATGGTTGCATCTCTCTATCATCCTTGCCACTTTCTCACTCAGGATTTTATTTATTTTATTCATTATAAATCTCAAACTTGTCCTTGTATGGAATACTGTTGCCATATCTGGGGTAGATCTTCTAATGATGCAGTTTCTCTTTTAGACAAGGTGCAAAAATGCATTGTAACTCTAAAAAAATTTTTTAAAGTTACAATGCATTTTTATTTAGAGGTCCCCTGGGCTATGACAACTTTTTTTATTACAGACCATGGAGACTCATTTCTCACCGATTACTTGTTTATTAAAATCTACTTACTACAGCTCTATTTGCATGAATAAATAATAGTTATTCTTTGTTGGCCATGTTTGTTAATGTTTTTTGATAAATAAATGTTGTCTGCAAGTTTCTAAAAATTTAGATTAATCAAAAATCAAGTCAAAAGCCTGCCAATACAAGATTTGGGTATGTTCTAATTTTGTTTGCTCAGAGATAACAAATGTTTTAGCAGTAATTTTTGCTTACCTACTTACTTACATAAATGAACTCAGTATTCACATTTTTTTCACAACTGGCGACAACTGCATAATTGCATGTTAGACTCAGATAACATTTTGATTGTTCAGTTTGACGCACATTAAAAAAAGCTCATATACCACTTTATGCAGTTACATAAAGTGGTATATGATATGCTTAATTTTGTAGAGTGAAATATGGATGAAAACATGGAGGCTGAGGCGACAGAAATAAGTCCCACTGCAACATCTCCCAAGGACAAGCAAGTAGTACCGGTTCACCGAATGCCTCTGGATCTACTCATTAAGAAATTACTCTTACGGCCTCTAAGAAGAAACCATGGACTCACCAATCTACTGAGTTGTTTGGTTTAGAGCCTGCTTTTTGCAAAGCTGATGCATCTATCACTGGTATTCGGCTGCCCACCTGATATACCACTGCAATGTAGCATGATGTACCACTGCAATGTAGCATCACAAGGTGAGCAACCCAGATCTATTGGTGCACAGGCTCAGTTCACATCTGCTTCATATGATACTGCAGATCGTTCTTGACGTAGGGTAGTAGGCAAAATAGCTACAAAATATCCACAATGACTGGGAACCACCAAAACTATGTACTCTGCGTAGCATGACCGTGGTTGTCAGTGACGCCTCACAGTTAAAGTTCTTGGGAGTGCCAAGTTATTACAAACCTTCAGACAAGTCATGTGGAGAAATCATTGCCAAATTGACTTTGAAGCTGATGACTGAGTGGCATTGTGATGATCGAATCCTCAATATGACATTCAACACAAGTTCTAACACGGGTCACTTAACAGCAGCATGCAAGGCCATTCAAGATAAATTGCAGCATGCAGTTCTCGGGTCAGGTTGTCAGCATCATATTGGAGAGGTTCTTCTATCATATGTGTTCACTGATATGAAGATAGAAGCGTCAGAAGAGTCAAAAGAGCTGCTGGCAATAATGAAGGAAGAGGCCATTTCTATTGCAGAAAAAGTTGAGTTCCTGGGAGATGACTATAAGGAATTCACCGAGCTAACGCTGCTGCACCAGTCATCAGAGAAGCACATAGTAACTTTCAAACAATCTGGTGCACTACACAAAGCCTGTTGGATGACAAAGCTGATCTACACCCTCAAGATTGTACTTTGTGAGATGCAGATTGGAGAGCTTCCCACAAGCACCATTACTAGTCGTCACTAAGTGCAAAAAGTGTGTGTTGTTGCCACATTCGTAGCTCATGTGTATATCCAATGGTGGCTTACATGCAAGAAAACTGTAGATTCACCATAGAATGATCTTCAGCTGTACAAATGTTGCAGCAGTAAATTTTGTTAATGAAAAAGGTGTTAAACTGAAAAAGTGGTGTTAAACCGGCTTCAGACTTTGTTGATAATGCTAGATCAGATGGACACTTTCAAAATGTTCTTCAGGTGGTTGAAAAAGATCGCAAAAATGCTCCAAACTTTTGGCGCAAATATGGTATCAAGAACACGGACTAATTGAGCCGCACAATTTCATTTATTTCTGTTGTATAATGTACATGTTATTGACACTATGCAGTGCAATCTAAAATGAACACTCAACAGTCAACAACACTCAATTTTTGTGTTCAAAAACAGAAAAAAAACATGTTATGTGTTCTTTTTAACAGCCAAGAAAATGCTTGTTTATTATTTTGTACATAGTTATACAATTTAGATATCTGTAATATGTAATTATGTATGACCAATCTTGAATAAGGACCAACTTTTCTCAGTCTTGGGCCTGCCGGCCTGGTGATCCTTATAATATTTCTGCAGTCTGTCTAGTCTAATATAATAATTCACAACAGTTGAGATTAGTTTCAGGTTATTTTTTGGTGCATATTAGAATGCTTGCTTATGCTCCTGTTTTTAACACATGGTATTCAAAATGGCCAAGGAATATTAATAACAACAAGTCAAACCACTATATTTTTGTTGATTGTGCCTACCTGTATTAATAATCCAGCTATGATGCCACGAAAATGAAAAAAAAATACCCAATCCACAAAATCGATTGAGTTTTAAGTCAACTTTTTGGACTCATGGGGGACTTCTAAATCAACTCTGATTTTGAAAATATTTCACTCAAGTTATCAGTATTCATAGTATAACACTTTGGAAACACAGGCAGCTCATAAATATGAAGTTGATTTTTTGCCCTACTATGGTATTGCACCCTAGTGTTAAGCTAGCTAAAATAATAACTTCAGTATGTGTGCTACCAGGCTGTTACATTAGCTGACTATTTTCTTTTTTTTTTTAATTCCTTATTTTCTAAAACAAAATAATAAATATGTAAAATAATGCTTTTGTAGTTTAAGATGATCTTTTTTTTTTTTGTTTTTTTTGTTTTGTTTTAGGTATTATCAGTTGTACTTGGCTTTCCTTTTCTGGTGTTTGCTGTTATAAAAAAGAACCTAATACTTAGGTTATGTAGTCTTTTTATGTCAGTAACTAAATGCTAAGGCAAACAAAAGCAAGCAGAACTAAAAAGATTATACTATATATAGATAACGCTGCGATTGTCCCAGTTTTTATAGACAAGAGCGAAGCGCTAAACTAAAAATTCAATAAAGCTCTCCTGCGGAAAAAACGAGAAAATGGCAGCCTTATATATAGATGAATTTGTATTTTATTATATTTTTCAGATAATAAATACACAACTTAAATTATTATTAGTGATTTGTTTATTAATAACCCAGGTTGCTTACTGCTAATATTACATAAGTGCAGATCGCGAATATTCTTGAACAACTTCAATAGTATTGCATTATAACAAACACTCATTAAAATATTTTTTCAATATCAAAAATAAATTTGGTAATAAATTTAAAAAAAAAAAAGTAATTAATAATCAAAAAATTAAAAATAATTTCACTCACATTTTTGGAGGATGGGGTAAGACTACTTAGTACCATATACAACTGACTGATATAAATCACAAAGCTCTTACTATCAACTAAGTCGCTTATCATATCTAAATGTCAAATTAATTATTTTTTAATTTAAAAATTTACTTTTTAAATCACCAAAAGTTAGTTTATAAGAAAAAATAACAAATAAAAATAAAAAAATTCAAATGACAATGTGATAGTTATTAAAGTTTAAAATTGGTACCTAAAGTACAACATGTCTAAAATAGAAACATCACAAGAAGATCGTTTAGAAATTATTATTCAATATTATTGTATGAGCACTTTAAGCAAGCTTTTTATTAAAACAATACTACTTATTTTTACGCAAAAAAAAAAAAAAAAAAAAAAAAAAAATTAGTTCATCATTTTTCAAACCTTTAAACAATAAAATTACCACCATGGTTGATGATTTTTTCACAGAAGTAATATCAAAATTATGTAAAGAAATATATTCTAGGTAAAACTGCTAGCAATCATCACTGTACATCACTTTAGGCTTTAATTAATAATTTAAAAATGTTTTCATATTTCCAGATTCCAATATGCTTTTGAAAAAGCAAAAAGTTAATGGTTTCAGACTTAAAAATTTAAATGGGTTTGATAATTAATTTTTTTTTAAGGTCAATTAATTCTTTAAGAAATGCAAAAAAAAAAAAAATAGTCTTTCTCATAGTTGATTCATATGGATCATAATAGAGTTTAATTGGTTTGCATTGGTATTATTATACCTTATTTTAATATCTATTAATTGTGTTATAAGGTTAACATATGTATTATCGATAGATGTGTTATGGATCTCATTGTAAATCAAAAATATTATTTCACTTGTTATTCTGTTTTTTATTCAAACGTTCAGGAAACACTTGGCAATATAAATTTTAAATCTTGTGGGTTCTATTTTTAGAGGAACGTAAATAATGCGTACTTCAGGTTTTTCTGCAGATACCTTTCACCATATTTTTAGAGGAACGTAAATAATGCGTACTTCAGGTTTTTCTGCAGATACCTTTCACCATATTTTTAGAGGAACGTAAATAATGCGTACTTCAGGTTTTTCTGCAGATACCTTTCACCATATTTTTAGAGGAACTAAATAATGCGTACTTCAGGTTTTTCTGCAGATACCTTTCACCATATTTTTAGAGGAACTAAATAATGCGTACTTCAGGTTTTTCTGCAGATACCTTTCACCATATTTAACTCAAGTGTTTAAAATTGTTGAACTTTGTTAAGATGACATCCATCATCGCCATATTTAACTCAAGTGTTTAAAATTGTTGAACTCTTGTTAAGATGACATCCGTCGGTAGCATAATATAAAATTGATTGACAAAACATTTAAATAGATGTATTTTTAGTAATGGATCTGTAAATATATCTAAACCCAATTTCATGCTGCATAGATTGCTTTTAAAAAAAAAATTTCTTTTTCATTCACAATGGTTTATACTTCTGTTTATCAAACTGAATGATTACTCAAAGATATTCAATTAAGGTTTTATATTATAGATTATTATTTTTTTATTTTTTTTCGCTTTTGTATCGAACTTTATAAATTGTGTTTTTTTAGGATTCCATTGAATTCGGTACTTTCTTTCTACCATATTCTTCACATATTTTAAGCATTTAATTCTTCAAATTAAAATACCAATCTTTAAATTGTTAATACAAACATCAAAGTTTTTTCCACCTTTTTAATAAGCCCTTCAGTATATATATCAAAAAAAAAAAAGACGAAGAGTGGTCTACCTTTTTTAACACCAACATTTGTTAGATTTATTATTATCGCAAGACTCATACCAACCTGACCAGTATGAGTTACAAAATTACCTTATTATTTTTTTAAATTTTAATTCCATTTGAGACTCATTTACTAATGTTCCCTCTGATGAATTTTTAATTTTTATAGTTTTTTTGCACAAATTTTCGAAAAAAAAATTTTTATTGGCTTCAAAAAGCAACTTTTTGATATACTTTTGTAGTTTGAAAAATTTGAATTTAGTACATTGATTATAGTGATATTTTTCAATTTTTTTAAACATTTTTGTAATCATTTTGAAATATTGAATCAAAGTTTTTGCTTTTATATTGTAAGTAATAAAAACTTTTTGCAACATAAATATTTTGCACATCTTTATCGCCATAGGTTTTTTTTAAATGTTGTGCGGGTTTTTTTTAATGTACATCAGTAGGAAAACATTCTTTAGTTGCTTCTTTAAGTAAAGTAGCTCATCAATAATTTTTACTAGTTTATTTTTATTTTGGTCTTTTTTGAGAGGAAGTAATCTTTTATTGATATCATTGCATTAATATTATTTGTTACCAATTTATAATATTATTAATTGTTAGATTAACTTTGATAATAAAATTGGGTCTTGCTCTTTTTATATGGTCAAAATGAAAATCAATTTTTTAAACAATAATTTAATGATAATTGTACCTATTTGGTACAATTACCATTAAATAATTGTTTGTATTGTTATAATTTTATTGTGAACTGAATCTCTAAATGAACATAACTGTTGTAAATTATAGTTAAACTTAACATGATTATTAATTGTCTTTGTGTATTGAATTGGTAATTTGTAATTTCTGTATTATTAATTTATTTTATAATAGAGAAGCAGTAGAAAACTAAAAACTGCATTAATGCATCATCAATAATCATGCCATCATGCATCAATAATGCATCATGTTTTTACTTTGAAAAACGTACAATGGTTGTAGACTATCATACTAAAAAAATGGAAATAAACCTGTTCAGAGGTCACCTTAAACTCTTAGTTTGTAATAGACATAGTCTGTGTATAATTGCCAAGTTTATTAGATTACTTGCTATGAAACCAAGCAGCAATCTACCTTAAGAAAACTTCACACAGAAAGCAATGACAGATTTAAAGCAGCATCTTTGGTATACAATCACTACACCAACAGAGATAACAAGACACAGCTCAGTTCAACAAAAAAAGATGATAGGATCCAGAAGAAGTTTAAAAAACAGAAAGTACTCAAGAAACTTGATAGTAAGATGACAGTTGTAAAAGATAGTGCTGATTGATCACCAGAAAAACCAACTACATTTTGACCTTGACATAAAATGAACACAAGAACCAGTATATTTTATATGTTGCCAAGCATCAACCATGACATTCCCTTGCTGTTCAAATAAGAATTTTTTTTGTACAGCTTAGCATAGAAGTACATATTATTTAGTGGATTTCTATAGTTAAACAATAATAAAAAATTATAAAAATATAGAAAAATTGTAATTGTAAGAAAAAATATCTCTATAAATCTAACATAAATGTGACATTGTCTTTTCATATTCTTTTTCTTTCTATCTATAAACTTAATTTTTAATAAAATAATTTTTTTGGACAATATATGATCAAATCATAAAAAAAAAATTTTTTGAAATAATTTATCAGAAATGATTTTTTTTTTGATTTATACATTTTTATGCATTTATTGATTTATGCATTTTTATGATTTATACATTTTTATGCATTTATACATCTAAACTGGATTTAATCAAATATAAGAAAATCATATTGAACATTTGGATTTAGAATGGAATCTGATAAAACTGCTAAAAATTTTAACCAAACAAGATAAAAAAAAACACAGCATACCGTTTGGCTCAAAAACAGGCTCCACACCAAAAGTATGCTTTGCATGGTAAATGGCATTTTCTATACGAGCAGCATCTCCCATTTTTGATAGATCATTCATGTTAAATAAACTCGGTTGAAATGAATGAATAATTCCATTCAATGCATAACCATCTTTCCATTTACTTGGCTGAAAGCTATTTATTTCTATACCAGCAAAACTAAAAAAAAAAAAAAAAAAAACAATTTTTAAATATTAATAAAAAACACGATCAAATTATTTTTCTTCAAAATTTTTTTTTTTATTTCAAACATAAAAATGATTAAAAACTTTTTTAACTTTAATTAAAAAAACATTCCCTATTAAAATTTAACATACAATGCAGGATGCACAGTTAAGAAAATGATAAAGAAAAAAAAAGACATAAACCAAGAACTGAAAATGTTTTAAGAAAAATAAAAATAATGCCATAAACTAAGACCTGAAAATCATGAATCGCGATTGCTTTTATACACTTTTATGATAAGTTTTATCTTAAAAAAATATTATAGTTTTTTATTAAAAAAAATTTGCAATTTTTTTTTTTCTTTTTTTTTTCTTTTCTAATTTAGCACTTTTTTTGCCCATTATTAAAAGTTTTTGTCTAATATTTGTCTAATATTAATTGTCCAATAATCTTTGTTACTCCAATATTCAAATGCATTAACAAAAATATTATTTGTTATATTTGTTATGTTACTTATATATAAATAAAATGCTTTCACAAATATGGCAATAACATGATTTTAGTAGATAACAGAGTCAATGCATCTGTGACAGAATCTAGATTCAGTTTTTCTAAATTTTCATACTTTATTCATTTTACTACATTTTATCCTCCTTATTTTTTATTTTATTTTGTAGTACTTTATACTATTACTATTATTTATAGTATACTTTTTAGTTCATATGCGATCTTTTAAACTCGCTTATAAGCTTAAATGACAAGCTCAAATATAGTTTTTTTATAATGATTCAAAAAATAATATTTTTTATTTTGAATTCATTCAGAAGTTAACATATAGTACCTTGCATATTTTTTACTAGGGTTCATAAAGTATGTCACGCTAAATTTATTTTTTGAATAGTAGTGTGATTATTTACTCTCGTACACTGAGATTTCTATTCAACATAAGCGCTTTTGAATTTAAATTACTTTGAATCTCTGTGTAGTAGTAGTAATATTTTAAAGTTATATTAAATTTGATTTACTGAATGGATAATGTACATAGCAGTTACCAATAAACTAAATAAAAACAAACCAGTTAAGTTACTACGGTAACTTACAGTTACTCAACTATTAAATTTACTTAATATGCTCAAAGACTCACAAAAGATAGCCATACAAATGTTTCTATTTATATCTTATGTTGTTAAAACCTAATATAAACTTTTAAAATTAAAAATATTTTAACGATGAATCTTGAATAGAATATGAAAAAGACAATACCATTTTTAAATATTTTCTTTTTATTCAAAGCGTTATCAAGATTAAATATTTTCTATAAACACGCAAGTTGTTTTTATGAATTTTTTTAAAAAAGAACAAAAGAATTTTAGTCTATTAATTAAAATTCTGTTTTTCAAATAGTTATACAATTGAAACTTGAAATTAAAAAAAAATTGGAAAAATTCAAAAGAATTTTAACAATCAACATTTTTGTAATACCCAGTGGCAGAGCGAGGATCATTCCTGAAATTTAAATGTTTATCTAGCTACAATAACAATATCAGATTTAGAACATTTTTCCGTCCTCACTTTTGCAAGTGAGGAAGAAAGTTTTATTTAAATTGTAAGCATTTTGAATAATATTTTTTCTAAAAAAATAATTTAAGCCTATATTTAAACTTAAGGAAATATAATTTGATTTATTAAACCAAATTTTTTTCCGCTTACTTTTTATTGCAAACCAGCTTGAATAAAAAATTTGAATAAAAACATCAACTTAAAAACCATTTAAACAAAAAAATTAATTATACTCAAACTTTTATTAGTAAGCTAGACCAAGAAGCAATAAATTATAAAGAACCTGTTTTATAACAACAATGTTTTAATTTATTAATTACAACAATTCTATATTATTTACTTTGTTTTATTTTAAACGCATTTTATGTTATTAAAGTTATAAACTGTATAAAACCACAATAAAACATCACGAAGTTGTTTTACATTAACACAAGCTCTTTATATTGTCAAAACAACGTTGCAGCTTGTTTTATTGTTGTTTTATAGTTTTTTACAACAACAATTCAATACTCTTTTTAAATGTTTATCGTCAACTTGAACATATTAAATAGTTTTCTATAACTAATTAAAGTGGTTAAAATATTGTAATATTTGTGTTTTTAAATTTACTTTTTTACTTTTACTTTTTTAAGTATCATGTTAAGTAAAAACAATTATAAAAAGTATTATCGTAATAATATTAAATAAGTTACTCATTACATTATAACTTCCTCATTACACTATAACTGCAACTTAAACTTTAAATTACAACTTAAGCTGTAAATAATAACAATAACTTTTACAATTTTAAATTCCGTTTAACACAAAAATTATAAGATAATAATTAAATGAGATTTTTTTTTTAAATATTAATTACGAACTAATGTAGAGAAGATATAATTTTATACTAACGCAACCCCCATCCCTTACTGCAAAGCAGCAACATGGATTTAGACGGCTGTAAAAAAATTTTTTTTTTTTTTACAACCAGATTTTTTTACATTAATTTGACCCCTGAGGTCTTTCCTTTTACTGTTTTATTTATTTTTATTTTTATTAATTATGATAAACTTAAATCCAAACATTTTATGTATAACAAGAAATGAAATGCCAAAATTTCAAGTGTGTATCTTCTTTTCAGAAACGAAGGAAAAGAAGAACAAAAAATATAAAACTAAAAATTTCCTAAATGTTGATTATTTCCATAATAACAGGTTAGACAAGAGGAAAACTCATAAGGTTATAACCTTAACAGATAAGAATTTTAAGACCATGATAAAAACTATAAAAAAGAATTCGAAGTTTTTTTTTATAATAATTTTGAATCTTTTTGCTAAAAAATATTTAGTTCAAAGTTCCTTATAACAATAATAAAATAGTAATTACATGTAAATTATATAAATACAATTATTTACAATTATTTAGTAATTATACTTATATAACTACTATGTAACTATTAATGATAACTATTTTTTAATAATAACTATTTTTTCTGAGCAAAAAATCTTATTAGAAGAATAAATATTCAAATCAGGGTTGGCATTAAAAAACCCGCCCAAAAAAACCCGCCCAATAAAACCCAAAAAAACCCGCCTAAAAAAACCCAATAAAACCCTGGAAAATCTGGGTTTTATTGGGTTTTTTTAAAGATATTTAATAAGTTTATGAACTATTGTAACCAACTTTAACATTATAACTGTAATATTATTTACTAAAATAATTATTAACTATTATTATTAACTTAATTATTATTAACTATTATTATTAACTATTATAACCAACAATAACAGCTATCAGAGCAGGTTTACTATTATTTGAATCATTATTTGGAAATACATTATTACAATTTTTATTCAAATATTTTTATCGATTGAGATTTTTATTACTTTATGTTGTTCACCTCCCAAGTTGAATTTAAATGAGTAGTAGTGACCAGAGAAGCCAACACAACAGTCGAGGAGGCTACCTTGTTGTGGTTACAACCCTCTCTCAACTCTTTTGCGGTAGTGGTGTTGTGGTAGAGCGCTCACTTCATAAGTGAGAGGTTCTGAGTTCAATCCCCACCACGTTCCTGGCAGTACCGCGCTCAACTCCTTTATCCGCGCAGTAGCCTTGTTTGTCAAGGTTCGTGTTTCGGAGTTATAGAGTTGAGAGAGGGTTATAACCACAAATAGCTAGCCTCCTCGCCTGTAGTTTTGACATATGGTCATAAGCTTTGAGGAGGTGAATTGATTTAAAAAAAAAAAAAACTCTTTAACTCCTAAACACGAATCTTTATAAACAAGGCCGCTGCGCAGAGGAACAAGTTTGTTTATTTGAATTTCAAGTTCAAAGTTTAATTGAAACTTCAGTTACTACCTCCCATTCTCAAGCCTTCTTTTTCACATTTTCTCATTGACATTTTTAATTATATAGAATAATACTTTTAAATTTAAAATAAATCAATACATATAGATTAAGCGTGAAATTTTTTTTTCTATTACAGTTTCAAATTATATTTAAAAATCTTTTTCAAAATAATTTGAAAAATTCTTGTTATAAATAATTAAACAACAATATATTAAATAAATTTTAAATAAAGTTAAAGTAGAAAAAAACTAATTTTCAATATCATTAAACAAAAACACACAAAAATTTTTACAGAGACAAAATAAAAATTAAACCCAAAAAAACCCAAATTTACCCAATAAAACCCAATAAAACCCAAAAAAACCCACTGGGTCGGGTTTTTTTAAAAAAACCCGGGTTTTTGCCAACCCTGATTCAAATAGTGTGAAAAAATCTTGTTAGAAGTGTAAATATTTGAATAGTGTAATTAACTAGCAATATTATTTCAAAATGCAATATAAATTACAAAATGCAAAGATAAATTACCTTTTAAGTATATATTGACACCAATCAAGCAATTCTTTTTCTGCATTTTTACTGTCGCCACCTTTCATAGCTTCAACAATCTTTAAATAAGATACCAAATTATATAATCAAAAATATTTGTTAATCTTTAAGAAAAGAAAATATTATATTTAAAAGTATTACAGAGGTTAGTTGAAAAAATTTAACTAAAGCCATGAAAAAAAAAAAAAAATCAAACAAAAACTACAACATAAAAAAAAAAAAAGATTGATAAACAGTAGACAAAAAAAAAAAGAAGTAAAAGTACTTTAACATAAATAAAACAAACCTGGAATCTATACATTATATTCCAACATAAGCCCATTGTTGTCAGCTGATCCCCATCTGCTAAGCTATTGGCATGTATTCCAATCAACTTCACCTATCACACACGAAAAAAAAAAAAAAATTATAATAAATAAGTACTTAATGTATTTTCAATTAAATGTATTTTATCATACTTTATAAATGTTACATTTAGTTTGAATATTATATATTAGTATTAAATTGGGTTGTATCAAAAATGTCTAGAGATGGCATCCAATAAAAATGTTAAGGTATAGGTGGCCACCTTAAGTGGTTTTATCCACCATGAGCTTTTAAGTAAATAATTAAAATGAAATCATGATAACATTAAATGTAATATACAAAAATATACATATATATATATATATATATATATATATATATATATATATATATATATATATATATATATATATATATATATATATATATATATATATATATATATACATACATACAGGGCTCGAATTAAGCGTATCGCGATCGCGAATTGCAACTGCTTTTTACACCTTCGCAATTAGTTTTTTCTTAAAATATATATTTTCCCGATTGGTTTACTTTTTTAGTTGTTTATTTACTATTTTTCTAATTTAGCTTTTTTTTTTTTGGCAATTCTTAAAAGTAATGTTTTCATAGTAGAGTACGTCACGTAAAGTTTGTCTTTCGAATAGAAGCATGATTATTTTTAATTTAAATTACTTTAAATCTCTGCGTAGAAGCAAATTAAAAAAAAAAAGTTAAAAAGAATTTTTTCTTCATTCTATTTTTTTTAACAAAACAGCATTTTTATCTTTTTTTAAAAGAAACGTTGCTCCAAATTAACTTATTAATAATGATTTAAATTATTATTTTATAAACAATTTTCTATAATTATTTTTACTACTTTTAGTATAATAACATATATATAAACTCGTTTTTATTAAATAAATTTTCTATATGCTAATAGAAACCAGCAACTTTTTTGCTTTCATATTTTTCGCTTTAACGACCTTGAAACTATTGAAGTTATATTTAGTTAACTTTACTGAATGGATAGAGTATATCATAGTAAATTAACTTATAACCTAAATCAAAACAACCAGTTAAGTTAAGAAAGTAACTTACAGTTACTCAAGTATTAATTTAACAATTATATTAATTTATTTAATATACTCACAAAAGTTAGCCATAGACATGTCTCAATTTAGATCTTACATGTTGTTAACACATATAAGCTTTTAACTAATAACTATTTTAACAAAAACTGTTGAATAGAATATAAAAAACGCGACACCATTTTTTTATATTTTCATTTTATTTATAGCGACATCTAGACTAAACATTTTCTATAAATACGCAAGTTGTTTTCAGGAATTTTATTTAAAAAGAAATCAATTTGAACAAGAGAACTTAAAATTTACTTTTAATTTTGTGATTGAAATTTGAAATTTAAAAAAAAAAATTTTAAAAAAAAGTGTGATGAAACAAGGAAGAATGAAGAAGAAAATTTTTCTTAAATCGTAAATTTTGTTAACATTTTGAGTTATATATTTTTTCTTGAAAATAGTTTTAAAAGTAGAAACATTCTATTGCAAACATCTAAGCAGTGATTGCAAATTGCAAGTTAAAATAAAAATTATAAAAAATTTAAATTAAATTTAATAAATTATTTTACTTCTGTTCGAAAAATTTTTTTTCTAAAAAAATAATTTAAGCATATTCTTATACTTAATATAATTCTATTTATTAAACAAAATTATTGTTTCACTTTTTTTTGGAAAACAATTAAAATAAAAAAAAATTGAATGAAAACATCAGTTTAAAAACCATTTGAATGAAAAACATAAATTATACTTAAATTTTTAATAGTACGCTTGATCAGAAAACGATAATTTATAAAAAACGTGGTATCTAATGTTTTTTTGCTTTGATCTTACTCGTTTGGTCTATAGATTATAAACTCATATAGGTCTATAGGCGCAAATATGATGTTTTGTTTTAGTTTATTAACTAGATCAATTTTATTTACTTGCTTCCTTTTATATTAAACGCGTTTTATTTCATAAACTGTATAAATCAACACGAAACAGCGTCACGATTTTGTTTTACATTAACCCAAGCTCTTTATATTTTTAAAACAACTTTGCAGTTTGTTTTAATGTTGTTTTATAGCTTTTAACAATTAAATACTTTTTAAAGTTAACACGTGTTTTAATGTCAGCATGAACGTATTAAATAGTTTTCTTCGACTTATTAAATTGGTTTAGATAATGTAATGTTGCTTTTTCTCTTACTTTTTTTTACTTTTACTTTTTTAAATATAATTTTAAGTAAAAATATACTTAAAGAAAAATCTTAATAATATTAAAAACGTTATTGCTTATTACAATTGCAACTTAAACTTTAAGTTATAACTTAAGTTGTAAATAATAACAGTAAATTACGCTATTTTAAACTCTGCCAAACAAGATTATATTTAAATATGAGAGATAATATGTCAAAAATAGAACAATTACGTACAAAAATTACAATTATATACTAACGCAACTCCCCCCCTCCCATTACCGCAAAGCAGTAATGGGGGGGGGGGTGAAAACTTTTTTTTGCGTTAATTTGAGCCCTGATATATATATATATATATATATATATATATATATATATATATAATAAAATTGGTTTTCTTACATTGTATTCTTTTAAGACATTTAGTGCATTGTTGTGGTTATTAACGTGATGAAGTCTCATGTTTCCTTTAACAGGTTTCTAAATAAAAGTTTTCTAAATAAAGTATTAAACTACATTGGAAATTATAAATATTTTGGTTTTTACCAGTTTAAATCTCTAATGTTAAACATTCAACAAAAATATATATAGGATCATTCCATATAAGATTTGAATCATTCCATATAAGATTTTTTGTCAGTTTTTAAAAATATTTAAACTGAATTAGAATGTGGATTAGAAGCAGATTTTTAAAAATAAATAGTACATTTGAAAAAAAAAAAAAAATTTCAATTTGTCAATTATATTTATGGATGTGTAAGAGATGTTTAAAATTTTCAATTTGTCAATTATATTTATGGATGTGTAAGAGATGTTTAAAATTTTCAATTTGTCAATTATATTTATGCATGTGTAAGAGATGTTTAA